ACCGTCTGCAGCAGCATGCCAGTGCTCTTCGGTATGCGAGGTCGTCAAATACGGAGTTACCCTCGAGTACCGATCACACCTCACAAATATGCACAAGATCGCAATCGCACGTAGACAATTCCCACCACCACCCTACCACAACGTGCCGGCTCCACGCAGCGACAAGCAAACGCACGATGCATCGGAGAAACCTTTGCCTGCCATTAAAATGCAGCGCAAGATGGCTTTGGGTGCCCCGGAAAGCAAGGTGAGCACTCCGATGTTCTGTTAAGCTTCCGTTTAACATTATGGGTGTGCGGGCGCATTATGACTGATGTAAAGCAGATTGTATCGCACGCACCGTAGCCCTGCGCCATATCGCGGTGAAAACACACATCGCTTTAATGGAATGCTAATCAGCTGGCAAACGATAATTGAAGTAATTAGGAACGTGTAATGGCTGTAATGTCTCATTGCGGCTGATATGGGTGTAAAATATTGGGCAGTCCCATCAGCCACAAAGACTCTTAAGGGCACTAATCTCCTTTTCACTTCACCGAGGCTACAAACTAGGGCTTTTGTCATGTCAATTTAAAATTATATTGTGCCAATAAGTGCGTGATGGATGTCATTATCGAGGCGCGATGAATCCGTTTGTGCGGTACAATTATGTTGCCGGCCTCACGATGATGAATGAACTCTGCGCACGAATCTCCAGCCTCGTGTGCGGTTGCGTGGCCAAGTGTTAACACTTAAACCGGATGCACAGCATCACATAAATTATCGTAAAAAAATGAAAACGTAAAAAAGGTTATGGCTAATTAACTATAATTAAAATCATGTCCGAAGTTGGCTTTTGTTCCCGAATGTTTAGCTGTGCAAGTCAGGTCTGATTTAAACAATTTTGCTCTCTGAATATCCTATAAGCCTGCGGGTCATGTTATAATTATGCTGGCCCACAAAAGCTTGTGAAACACTTGCACTCCGTGAAATTAGTCCAATTAATAGATAGGCATTGAAAAGGTTACAACCTCTCGTTTCATATATGCTCGATATTACTTCCGTGGAGTTAAAGTAAGATGTTTAAATAAGTGGTATAATATCTATGTTATTGCAATAATTCAGGACTTTTTTCCTCGCTTATGCCTTCTGTGGCGATGTTCATGTTTTAGGGAATGTGTTTTCCCCTTTCATTGTGATTTTAATAAATCAAATCTTTGAAATAGACCATTAAACATGGGCTATTGTTCTATAATGGGCATTCTCCCCTTCTGGTTGACTATATTTACAGTCTTTAAACATATTTTATTATTTCCCTTCTACGTGACTTTTCCGAAAGAACCAAGAATATGAATCCCTGCAGTCACGAAAGCTTTAAATCAAAGTCTTTAAACAATTTAGAGATTGGCTGGGAAGACAGCCACGTTCGTGATATTAAAGAGGTCATCATGGCAATGACTTTGATGCCACAACGTTAGCGCCATAGCTACCGTCCTGCTGCCAGAGCTTGCAACAGACCCGCAAGGTCTGTACTCACAGCCTCATCACGACCGTCTGGCGTCAGGTTTTCCATTTGGTTACCGACTTCTCTGATCCATTCCAACCTTTACTCTCATCCACGTGCACCCCCCACTACCCATAACAAACTCCGATTGCTAATTATGCCGACAAAACATACTTGCCACGTTCAAATAATACTAGCAAGATGCGTATACGATCCTGGTGAATAGTTCCAAGCACCTTCCACATGTACCAGAATTTAATGGCAAGAAATGTATATCCATATTTGTATTACGTTGTTACTTCATGTATACGTACAGTGTTTGATTCTCGTTAATGGAATATACTGAGGGTGTGAATATGAGGGGCCGCTATATAATTTTGATCAGAACGTGTCAACAAAAGCGTTTACACTATGAGACCTCCTTTACCAGTGGCAAAATATGCTAATAGGTTTTAACTCTTTCAACTGGTACAAAAACTGACACCTTTATACAAGGCATCATGTTTGCAATAACCACAACACAAGCAGTCAAAATGCAAAAAAGAGAAACAACTCTGATAATGATAATGATATGCACTGTCTTTGAAGTTGATTGGTCCACACCCGAGACAGCTTTTCTTAGAGCCTAGTCTCCATTGGTGTTGGACCAGATGATGCCAAAAGGCATACAACTCAAAAACAGCGCACTATCAGAGTATTGAGAGATCGTGATACACACAACACACATAACTAAACCTAGCATCATCATTGGAACCTCATTTGCCAGTAAAAAATATGATAATTGTTTTTTTACCCTTCTATCTGGCGACAAAACTGACACCTTTTTTTACAAGGAGTCATGTTTGCATAGACCACAATACCTGCAGCCATAATGCAAGCAGAAAACATAACTCTGATAATTTGCACTGTCCTTGAAGTTGATTGGTCCACACCCGAGACAGCTTTCCTTCGAGCCTAGCATCCTTCGCTAGCTGCATAAGTCAATCCATAACAGCCGGATTAACAATAGCAGTAGCAGCGCACTATGATCACAATACATAATAATTTCATACATCGGTCATCTATAGCTATATTTTTTTATTTCAGGACACTGGATAGCAGTGGCAGCTATGGTTGTACGACTCCTCTAGAGCATGTTTGAGTGATTGTCTTGTTGGTAACGATTCAAGCTGTATGGACTTGAAAACTCAATTTCCCTGTGCAAGAATATAGGGTAAACCGTATGGGATTGACAGCTATGGTTTGACCCCTCCCCACCCCTCCTGTGACGTACATGCAACGCGTCACATAGCGCGTGCTAGCTCCCGCCCACGTGACGAGCCCCCGGCGGTGACGTCACCTACACATCGTATGTTGCTGCTGCTGCTGCGTTAGCAAGATAACAAAAAACAAATACAAGGCGACGTTTCGGGAAATGGCCCTTCTGCCATAGCACATAAACAGAGAGGCCAGGGAGACAGGGTGTGTGTGATAAGTAATTGGGGACTAAACTCTACAATACGGGCAATCTTGTTTATTCTGACGTCAGCGCAACAGCAAATCAATCGGAAGTTCATAATAGAGGGTTTCTTTTTGGGGTTAGATCGCTTAAATATAAATTACGTGTCGTAAAACCCGCCACCACCCGATTAATAAGGGTTGTCACGTACACGAAACGTGGCAATTCGTTAGTGGCACAGTGCATCGGTGCGTTGGAGAGTAACATACCTGTCAACCCCTTATCAGTGCCCCTACCTTATTACAGACCAATTCAGACCTTATTGGTCACCCCGTGTCCCTATAAATCTCAACGTTCACCCTACAAAGTCCCATCACAAGGGAGAAACACAAACAAATAAGACATTGTGTTTTGTTTCCCATATTGAAACGGCTGTACGCCTGTACGGACCTGAAAACTCAATTTCCCCTGTACAAGAATAGGAGATAAAACCGTGTGGGTTGACAGCGGTGGGAGTAAAAACCCCACCGCAGCATTTACAATGTTGGGAAAGGTCGCCTCTCGCGATATCGCCACGAGCAATAAATCGACGACCAATACCACGGCGTCTGTGCCAGGCAGATGCACTTTGAGGCCATCACGTGAAGTGTCAAAGACTCGCTGACAGGAGGTCTCGGGACAGACCCTGAGATGACCGGTAGATGCACCACCAAGTTCCACCCCCCACTTTGCAAACTTTCTGCATTTTAACCGCCCCGGCGCTCCCGCTCGTTGTTGTGAGCGTCGCACCTCTGTCCTCCGTCGTTGCTGGAGGTCGACTGCCTCCGACTGCCCAGTAGCATCGTCCTTCACGAGCCGCCTCCACAGAGAGGCCGATCTTGACACCGCTGGGCTTAACCAGAAGGTCGACGGCGAGTCAACTCAGCTTGCATGTCCTCGCCAGAACTTCGACGACGACGCGTGACCCCCCACTCACCCCCTCACCTCACTCACTCCCCACCCCACTCACCCCCCAACCTACTCACTCCCCCGCACACCACTCACCCTGCACCCCACTCACCCCCCACCCCACACACCCCCTCATCCCACTCACCCCCCCTCACCCCCCCTCACCCCCACCCCACTCACCCCCTCATTCCACTCACCCCCCCTCACCCCCACCCCATTCACTCCTCCCGCACCCCACTCACCCCCCCGCACCCCACTCACCCCCCTCACCCCCCACTCACCCCCCCCACCCCACTCACCCCCCACCCCACTCACCCCCCACCCCACTCACCCCCCCGCACCCCACTCACCCCCCACCCCACTCAACCCCCACCCCACTCACCCCCCACCCCACTCACCCCCCACCCCACTCAACCCCCACCCCACTCACCCCCACACCCCACTCACCCCCCACCCCACTCACCCCCCCGCACCCCACTCACCCCCCACCCCACTCACCCCCCACCCCACTCACCCCCCACCCCACTCACCCCCCACCCCACTCACCACCCCGCACCCCACTCACCCCCCACCCCACTCACCCCCCACCCCACTCACCCCCCACCCCACTCACCCCACACCACACTCACCCCCCACCACACTCACCCCACACCACACTCACCCCCCATCCCACTCACCTCCCCACCACACTCACCCCACGCCCCACTCACCCCCCATCCCACTCACCCCCCACCCCACTCACCCCCCACCCCACTCACCCCCCACCCCACTCACCCCCCACCACACTCACCCCCCACCCCACTCACCCCACGCCCCACTCACCCCCACCCCACACCCCACACCCCACTCACCCCCCCCCCCAACTCACCCCCCACCCCACTCACCCCCCCACTCACCCCCCCACCCCACTCACCTCACTCACCCCCACACCCCACTCACCCCCCCACTCACCCCCCCACCCCACTCACCCCCCCACTCACCCCCCCACTCACCCCCCCCCCCACCCCCCTCACCCCACTCACCCCACTCACCAACCCCCAACCCCACTCACCCCCCCACTCCGTGTGACGTCACCGTACCAATGACGTCGCAGCGCCTCGGACCAATCGCTGCCCTCGCCAGTCTCGCGCCTCGGCACTTGCCACGTTTACCCGCTTGGCTGGGAGTGACGGCCTCAGCGCGCCTCACGTCGCCCTCACAGCCGCAGAGCCTCCGCGCCGCTCGCCCTAAGGCCGAACGCACGCGCTAAGACGTTGCTTTGCCCCCACAGTCTCGTCCGAGAAAGCCGACGGCATGTGCGGTGAGCGGCCCGGTGTTCGTGGTTTCGTTTTTTTGCGTGTCTCTATGCAACGTCGCGGGGCGGTGCGGACCCGGCCGCCCGGGTGTCGCCGTTGGTGCGGCCCGGGGGTTGAGGGTGAGGATCCCGGTATGGGAAGCAGGCGAGGGCGGGGCTTCGAACGCGGCCTACGCGAGCTCGCTTGTTTGAACGTGCGCAGTGATAATTGTGGGTTTATTAATAGCGATGCAATTATTTTTATTTTGTTTATCAAAGCTTAGTTTTAACTCATGATGTTGTTAGGAAGGTACAATTTTTGTGTAATATTTTTGACGTTTTTCAGTCACAGTAACGCAATGTATGAATGAAATTGTTTCAAGATTGTATTAGGATCCTACACATAGTAATACAATCGGGCTCAATATTTATTTCAGGAGGGTTTATGTAAATTATGTATCCAATAAAGTTTCACTGAGTTTAAGGATCATTTTTAAAAAATTGTTGTATATTCTTACAGCACTTAAGTCACGGACACAAAATAATCCTGTCGTTATATTTATAGCAAAACACCTCAGACACTAGACTTTTTCATTATTGTATCCGGTGACCTTTATACCAGATAATAGCCCGTCACAATACATTTCTGTAATAATCCATGATTAATTTATGTCATTTAATCGACGTAAGCCTCACTGAGTTTTATGGGACGTATAATAATTCGTATGCTTAACGCATTTTAGCTTGTCCAGGAAATAGTCTCCACGTTTTTAAAGCTAGCTCTTTCAAAAGGTAACAATTTAACGTATTTGACATATCTTAATCGAGTCGCACATTTTTTTCAAAAAGTTCCTGTAGTAATTAGTTTTTTCCAATGAAGCCACAATGAGTCATTTTCAGTAGGATTTTCCTTTGGGATATTTGGACCAGTAGTTTTTTGTTTGCATGTAGGAGGAAACCAGAGTACACGAAGACAATCCTATGCTTTTGTCGACGCAAGAATAAAGTATATAACTCGCTGGCTGTATTTTCTTGGGAGATTATGCTGTGTGTATTTAGGATTACGATGTGTACTGTATATCCTGGTAGGTGTGACGTTTGCATGTGCTGCTGTATTTGTGCAGTTTGGTGATGGTGTCCGTTAGCATATCTCGTTCCTGTGTACTGTACGTGATTTTAAAGTCGTAAAATACGTCAATGTCAAGAACCAAGAAACCGGATGTTTCCACCCAATGTGTACACAGCTTTGCTGTGTCCGGTTGTATTCACGTTATTATGAGTTAATGGTCACTTTTTAAGAGTCCTTAACTGTGTTTTTTTGCCTGTCAATGGCCAGTATTTTTGAACAAATCAATTAGGTCCCTTTAGGTGAAGTTGATCATCTACTTCCAGTAATTCGAATGATAATGTTGCAGATGTTGCTTCCAGGTAGTCAAAGTAGAGTGAAGCACTGACCTATTACGATAATTAGTGGTAATTTGTTTTGTGCCTGCAGGAAATTGTTTTACTGGCAAAATGCCATGCTGATGCACATTGCTTGCTCTACTTTTAATGTAACATACCCCTAACTTGTATTGATTTTGCTCCAAAGCTTCTCTTAGTAATATGGATGTTTGGGTGTGTATTGCCAATATGGGCTGTAACCACAAACAATTGTTTGATAAATTGTGTATAACAAACTATATGAATTTTGTACTCTGTTTGGCCTTATGTGACCAATGTTTGTGCTGCACGTGGCCAGATATTTTTTTCATTTATTAAATACACCTGAATATATTATATCCTCAATTGATTTGATGCAAATGTTACATGTATTTGTAGTCCTGAATTGGCATCTCTGGCCATATATACCATTAGTTATCTATCCACTTACCCATATTTGTCCATGAGTGGATGAAGACCTCCCCCAAACCATAGTCTTAGGATGCAACAATCCATCTTTGAACTTTTACTTTGGCTGGTTTGATGTTAACCGGTTACGTATGTATTTGGTAAAGGTCGAAATATATACCAACGGAGTTGGGTGCTCTGAGTGTTGTAAATTGTTTTCATGGGCTTGGCTGGGGCAGGGCATAGGTGAAAAAGCCACTTAAACCTACATTTTATAAGTCAACAAGACATGTGGTCGGGTTTGACCTCATTCCTGCCTGGTTTCTGTTGAATCTTGACTTAAAGCTTTCGTGACTGCCGGAATTCATATTCTTTGGGTCTTTCGGTAAATCACGTGACTTTACCGAAAGAGGAGGCTTTCTGTTGCTTTGAAATTTACCTGTGGCCTGGCAGCATTTTATCGTGAATTGGCATTGCAGCCCAATTAATTTAGTTCGTGTATATCTCTCCCATGTGTTTTAATTTTGTACCGCATGTTGTTCAGAGCTAAATCTCAGATATTTTGTCGAACCACACGCAGTACGCAGTAATGTAGTTCCTGGAAATGTATAGGAAGTATGTAAAGATGGTGATCGTAGATTGTTTTGCCTTGCAGGAATCTTCGCCTACCTAAACTACAATGTGCCTCGCTCACGGAAGCACATCCTGGACACCTTGGTTAAGGGACTGCAGAGGCTGGAGTACCGTGGATATGACTCTGCAGGTCTGAATGCTGTCTCACTTTAGAATGCCATAATTTTGCCACCTATTACTTATAACAAATATGCATACATATTTACATAAATTATCACCTGCATCCTCATCAAAAATTGTAAAAAACAAACATAAAAGATCTTATCTTGTAGATGCATACCAGCCAGTTTCCTGGGCTGTCTGATATAAGTTTGAACATTTTGTTAGGGAAAAATAATATTTTTAAATCACGCCTGTAAGCATGATTGTAACATCACTCCCAATTAAAAAAATATATAAATCCACCACAGTAGTGTCACTCGAATTCTCTTCACTGCGATTCCATTTTTAATGAAGCTTAGTTCTCATCGGTTACAACTGAACAAATTAGGTGTTTATCTTCAAAGAGATATTTATATTCCGAGTAGCATGTTTCCTTTTATGTGGTATTCTTTTATTTAGTTATATCTGTAGTACTTGTGCCTTCTGAATGAAAAGTATCTGAAGTTGACTATAGGATTTATATTGCTGGTTTGTGGTCTTGTGCACAGGAGTGGCCGTGGATGGTGGAAATGACAAGAACTGGGACAATAACTCCAAGGTTATCCAGCTCATAAAGAAACGAGGAAAGGTGAAGGCCCTGCAGGATGAGATCTACAGTGAGTAACAAGAGAATACTTGTGGGTGAATTTTCATAAAAAAAAAATATCCGTTAGTTTCCTAACCAAATTCAAATGCCCTCCTATATTAACTAGAAATTTGAATGCCAGTTGCTGCGGTCAGTGTGTTACTTGGCGCTGAAGCCACAATTTCCATTTCGTTTATGGCAGATGTCCTTGGGAAGACATCTGCTGAAGCTACCCAACTTACCACTCCATGTTCTGCTTTTTAAACGTCTACCGTCTGTATGTTACATGTTACGTTTTTCTGCATGCTTTGCACAGAACAAGATTCCTTGGACTTTGACATCGAGTTTGAGACCCACGTGGGTATTGCGCATACTCGCTGGGCCACTCACGGAGAGCCCAATGCAGTGAACAGCCATCCTCAGCGGTCAGACAAAAACAATGGTGAGTGAGTAGGTGCCTCTGGGCTTAGCCACTCTGGCAATGCATTCACCCCAAAAATGTCCCTTGTGTTGGAACTCAAATAATGTATTTTCTTTTCCTAGAATTTGTTGTGATTCACAATGGAATCATCACCAACTACAAGGACTTGAAGAAATTCTTGGTAAGTTTTTAAATTTCGAATGAACCCTAATTATCTGTGTGTATATACTTAGTAGGGGCAGTCAGGTTGTTATGACACTGTCACACTTGAAAATATCCCAAAATGTAAAGATAATTTCTCTAATGTAAGACTTATGTAAAATCCACCCTGCAATACACGTATTTTCTTGGCTTCTACATCCATGTAATACCATCAGTGTGTAAATTATCCCATTGATTTGATTCATTTGATTCATTTATACATTAAATTACAATTTGAATGCCTTCAATTTACTATATATTCAAACATCCGTGATTCAGATGCTTCATTTGCTTTTTTCTCTAGTAACCAATTGCCTTCTGTCAGTGCCCAGTCAGCCTATAAGTAGTGGGAGGTAGCTGTGTCTCTTTTGTTATCCCCGTGGGCTGCAACTCCATCCCCCAGCTTTCTGTGTTGTCATCTCCCTACCAGGCACAAAACCTTCCACTGTTTATGATAGCACTCTCTTTTGCCCCAAAAAAATAATACACATTGAAAGCATAAATCCGTCTCCTAGTACAGTGCGTTGGGGTGTTGTTGAAATGTTGACGCTTTGTAAATCTCAAAGCGTAATAACCGGTTGCATTTTAATTTCATTTTCAGGAGAGCAAAGGCTACGAGTTTGAGTCCGAGACGGACACAGAGACCATCCCAAAGCTTCTCAAGTACATGTACGACAACCGCGAGAGCGACGAGATCAGCCTGAGCACCCTGGTGGAGCGTGTCACCCAGCAGTTGGTGAGTGGCTCCAGCGCTGTGCACAGGCCAGCTAACGGGAGGAGGGGGCAACCTGACACGCACTGCTGCTGCTAGCAAATGCATGTCTGGGAGGGGCATCCAGACGTGCATTTGTTGCACCTCCGATTAGCACGGTTGGCCACGTACGCTGCAAAAAGAAATTCGGCATAGATACAGCCGCAGCAGCATGTACACAGAAGGTGACACCTTTGTGTTGTGTGCTGTGCATGCTGTGGAGTGTACCTCCCTTTTATTATTTCACCGCTGGATGAGGGCCAACCCACGCCTCGCCGATCATAGTGGTGAGTTGATCACACCTCGCCAAGCTGGCCACTGAGTTGGTGAAGATGGGAACCATAGTTCTGGGAGCGTAGAAGTACAGTAAAATTATATATTTTTCTGCACTGCCCTCTGCTGTCTACAATGTTGCCCTACAGCCTACAACACCTGGTTTGTGTTTAGTCGTCACCCATCCAAGCATCATCCTGGCCCAAATTCTGCTTATCTCTGAGATTGAGTGCATTCCTGGTAATGTGGTCAAACGCATCATCTTTGTGTAAATTTAGCGGAGGTAACGATGCATCATAATAATATTGATGTTTAAGCTCTTATGCATTGGCTTGTGTGTAAAATTTTACGTTTTTATATTTATATACTAGCTTATTTGCTCGTCCTAGGACGGAAGCTGTAATGTTTACGAAAAAATTGTATCTTGTGTAAATTTAATGGCAGTGAATCTTGCACCAAAGTATGTCATCAAACACTTCACTGCATTTCACTGTAGCACTGTATTAATAGCAGTGATTCTTGCACAAATTTACGTCATAAAACACCTCAATTCATGTCACCTTAGCACTGTATTTAACTCCCCTTCAAGTTGTTCAAATCCACTGCTCTGATACTTTATTCTCTTCTGCTTTCGATTGCTAGGGTTGAAATAAATTGTAATTCGATACAATATCTGGAAATTCACTGAGAAATGTCGATTTTACCATATTGTTGAAGCATAAATTAGACCTACCTCTTTTGTCTCAAGTGCTGAAGAAATAAATGAAGACACCAAATCCACTTTGTTGCTGCGTAGAATTATTTATTAGATTCACTTTCAATAAAGAAACGTCAAACTTAAAGCGAATTTGCGAAAAAATATTTCCGCTCGACCTTCTGCGTGAGTGTAAAAAAATTCACCCGCTCATGAATATTAATGATGGGGGGGGGGTACGGCATGTGGAGTGACGTCACGTGCATTACACACAAACATTCTTGGCTCAATATATTATAGTAGTAATACACTGCATGTAATCAGTTTACACGGCCCCTGCAGCTACGAGAAGCCACTGCCTTGTACAGCAATGTTAAAATAAAGAACCGTTTCTTGCATATAATTGCAACTCTGAATCGTTACTACTGAATTTCCAAAGGAGGTATATGAATGTTTATGCCCCTGAAAAAAATATATGAAAATAAAAATGTAATATTTATTATTTAGGCAAAGGAGTGTTTGTTTGGCAGGGGTGGTTGTGGGGACATGTGGGGCAAAGGAAGCATTTGGAGGGCATTGAATCATTAATTTTATTGCTTATAAAGACACTGTACAGTATTATTTATTTAATGCTTAAACTTATCCAAGTATATGTTCTCAGTTTATTTTAGTATTTAGTTTGTGTCACCTGTAGAAAGGGATTCATTAAAAATTTAATGTAAAAATAAAAACAACAGCTCACATGTTCCCTTCGATAGTTTGAATGCATGTGTTGCCTGCTGTGGCCATCTAGCATGCTGGGAACATATTGTTCAAAACTTGTTCAGATCAGTTTTGGGATTGTAATTATGTTGTGATTAAAGGGGGGTTGATTTGTATATGTCAAGATGGAGTTTGTGTGATCATTTGTTTCTGTTGCAGGAAGGAGCATTTGCTTTGGTCTTCAAGAGCGTGCACTTTCCAGGCCAGGTGGTGGGGACAAGGTCATTACAGCACTAATTTAACAGCTTGAATTGGAAGCCGCAAGTGTGCTAAACCACAACCATATTCGTAGTGATTTTTGCCCCTATTCAGCCCTTGAGTCAACATGAATGAACGCGCGTTTGTCACGTTGTTTAGTTTTCTATGCGCATTTTCTGCATTCACTGTGGACGTGCAGACGTGGAGGACCTCTGCTGATTGGAGTGCAAAGCAAACACAAGCTTTCAACCGACCACATCCCCGTCCTGTACCGCTGTGGTGAGGCACTCGCGCGTTGCTGTGACACCCTGCCAAAGTTGGCAGGCAGCACCCACATCACCCCTAAGTACCCTCTTTCAACTGACATCTTTTTTTTTTAAACAGAAATGCAGTCTTATCATTTTTTATTTTTTTTTATTGTTTGTTGGTTGCATGTGTTTCCACACACGCCTTCTTTCTACCCAGCTGACAAGCAAGTATCAGCATTGCACCAGCTCACTACCCAGTGGAAAGCAGATGAAGATGGCGAGTACTGCTCGTCAGACGTCAAGACCTCCGCTTTCTTTCTAGCCCTTTTATAGAATCCACTTGCCATCTGTGTGCAGAGATGGGATATTTGATTATCATTATCATTCTTGGTGTTGGGGTGTGACGGTGAGGGTGGAGGAATAATAAGTCTGTTCCCATTGTGTGAACTTAATTTAGGCAATCATTTGCTGCCTGCGATTATCATATGCTGTGTTTGGCTGGAGAAGGCTTTTTTTTGCAGTACTTGCCTCCAGCTCGGCGAGTATAATCTTTGCATATGTAATGTAGACACTTCCGTCATTTAAATTTCAATATTTTCACATGTACGTATCATTATTGTTGTTATTCGGAGAACAGAATGTGTAATCTGGCATTGCTGAATTAAGTGATGCATGCATGTGCATAGAATCATCATTTTATTACCGGTAAACACTGATGAACCACAAAAATTTGATGAATAAAAACCCAATTGGCATTTACAATTGTATAATGATTTACGCCGATGCTTGGTCGTAACCTGCAAATAAGCCTCACATTGTGTCGGAATCTTTGCATTGTCATGCTTATTTCCAATCAGCAGGCATATATTGAAGGCTGCAATACAGGAGGTGGGGAACCTTTTCCTTACTGGACTTTTGTGAAAGAGCTTCATAGCTCATCGGAATTCTTCCAGTGTAAACAAGTATTTAGATTCTGATTGCTGAGGGCCAAATAGGACTTTTAGAAACCTTGTCCCGTGCAGGAGTCTCTTGCAGTGACAGAAGTGACTGAGCAGCTTTAAAAATATGTTGTTGCCTCCGGGTCAAATCTTCTCCTCTTGCACCAAATTAGTGTAGCTAAGATGCATTGATGGATAAGTTACGATTAGATGGCTGTTTTTGAATTAAGTGGGTAGGCTTCATGAGAGCACCAGCCTTATGAAACAAATTTGCGGACTGTTGTAGGTTCCCCACCTCTGCTATCATCGTAACATTTATAACGGAAGCTTAATTTTAGGAAAACGTAATCCCACGTAAAGGTCAGTGGATTTGCGGTTGAAGTTCTTTATTTCTGCGTGTTATTTTGTTGGTGTTGCGTGTGTATGTGTGCTTAGGAAAGGAAAAGAAGGCTGTATCAACACTGCCTCGGGTTGATGGGGACACGTGTCTGTACCCGATTGGGGAAGAGACTGGTGTGGAGTATTATTTTGCATCGGATGCAAGGTGTGTCCTGTACTTCAGGATAATGGCATAAATTACCCATTTTTCAACATTCCAGTAGGGCATCTTCTCGGTTCTTTTGGTAAAGTCACGTAGAAGGGAAATAAACAATAATACAAAAATTAAACATAATAAAATACAATTCTCACGACGTTTCGGCCACAATGCAAGCAGCTGTCCACCTGAGGACGGCTGCTTGTGTTGTGGCCGAAACGTCATGAGAATTGTATTTCATTATGTTTATTTTATTATTTCCCTTTTACGTGACTTTACCGAAAGAACCAAGAAGACGAATCCCTGCAGTCACGAAAGCTTTAAATCGAAATTCCAGTAGGGCAGTTCCACGAATTATTTTCATATCCTTTAAAGATGTGGGTGATTATTTGTGTAATCATGAAGTGGCTTTTTACTTATTCATAGCATGCCATCTAATTATGACTAAATTCAGATGGAATTTCCCCCCCACGTTTCTTGGTAAGGGAGACGTCTTCATCAACTAACCGTGGTTTAGGACATTCGGACGGACCAGGATGGAATTGTTTTGGTTCTTCCAGTTCGGATGTGTGTCAAACCGTTGACTTACTTTATTAGCCTATTTTTTGGTTAACTAGACAGGTACCTTCAAATTACACCATATAAACTAATGATGATTTAGATATTTTGACTGATGTTGCCTAATTTGTATGTCTCGTGCTATTTATTGATTTCAGTTGCATCTAAGTTTACCAGGTTTCCATGGCTAACGGGAAAAATTGCTTTGGCAACATTCATTTGACACGATACAATAACATTGCACATGTGGTGTCGTAATTTTGCAAAAAAAAGTTTTTCCAACAAGACATTGCCAAGCGCTCATTGGCATAGCAAGCCATTATATATTTAAGTTCAATAGTACTGTAATACCCCGATTTACGTCTCCCCGTTTTACGTAGTTTCACAAATACGTCGCCACTTTATTATTAACACCGCTGCCTGATTTGCATCGCCTCAAGCCACGCGTTGTTGACAGCATCGTCCGTCCTTTCTCGTATCCGTCGCCTCGGCCTACACCTCCACCTACTACCCTGCGAATCGGTTTGAATGACGTCGTTTTGATATTCGTCGCACCTTTCAGGAACGCATCCCCGACGTAAACCACCGGGGTATTACTGTACTCAAATGCTGAGACAGAAAATATTTTGCAACCGTTGTAGCTTAAATAACACTGAAAAAAACCAGTAGAGTAATTACAGACTTTTACACAACTGGTAAATGAAGATGTACTTGCATCTGATAAGAATCATGCCTGGTTATTACTTGGATCGTTGACTGCCTAGGAATACCATGTGTTCTAGACTTGAGCTGCGTGGTGGCCAAGAGTTTGCAGTAGAGCGACACATTTGATCAATATTCACGTAGGTTTGAAAGTCATCCCCTCAAATCGGTAGGATGTCTCCAGGTACTTTGCTTTTCACATTGCAAGCATCAGTTAGTGGAATTAGTCAAACATTCAGTACCCCCGTGAAAAACACATAATCAGGCTGTCTGTGATAATTAAAGGGATTTGCTATTCTTACAGTAAATTGCATCGTGTTTATGCTTAGATTTTTGAGTGACTCCCGCGCTTTAGTAAACCCTCCTCCACACGAACACCTGCGGCGGCGGGCAGAGTGACATTGCCGCCCACCTGTGTCCGATTTCGCAGCGCAATCATCGAGCACACGAACCGTGTGATCTTCCTGGAGGACGACGACGTGGCGGCGGTTGTGGACGGTCGTCTCTCCATCCACCGCATCAAGCGCACTGCTGGGGATGACCCGGCGCGTGCCATCCAGACCCTGCAGATGGAACTGCAACAGATCATGAAGGGTGCGTCACTAGCCCAGGGCCGTCGGGCCTGCGCTCTTGCTCTCTCTTATCGTGGGCACATATGACGTTTGCGTAACCCTTTAGCCGAAACTCCCAATGGGGGGATTGACCCCAAATTCCACGCAGTCTCCTTTTAAAATTCTAAATAAGGACGGCTATATTTTTTTCCAGGTTGCTACAGTGTTGGTGCAGGCAGCCAGAGTAAAACAAGAATCTTGTTTAAAACTTCATTGACAAATAGCTTTGACCTTGTGTTACGCGTGTTCTGTAGAAATCCAGGTTAGGCTAATTAGAATGGCGCTTGTGTTAAATTACACGATATACATCTTCATTTGTGTTAATGATATGCGGTAGTTTAAACGCACTTTAGCATATTTCTGAGATTTTTGCCGTGACACTTTGACATTGGAGCAATTCCTGTGTTATGCAATGCAAATGTGCCCCTCACACGTGCCTACGTGGGCCCACATCTGTTTGCTGTTGGATTCTCAACGCAGGGAGCTACAGCTCTTTCATGCAGAAAGAGATCTTTGAACAGCCCGAGTCCGTGGTGAACACCATGCGTGGCCGTGTCAACTTCGACGACTTCACAGGTACAGGTGGACAAATTTTCTGTACCTACAGCCCCCAGCCATGCCTCATGTTATTCATGCTCGTAATTCGGATATGAGCTTTGATTAAAAAAAAAAACCCCGGGCAAAGTTTCTCATGTGCGCACCTGTTCGCAGTGTTGCTGGGAGGCTTGAAGGATCATATCAGAGAGATCAGACGGTGCAGGCGCCTCATTGTCATCGGCTGTGGCACCAGCTACCACGCAGGCGTTGCGGTCAGTACCCTCCCAGACAAAAGAAGTCTTTGGACTTGACTCCCAGTGTTGGCAGCGGCAAGGCTTTTCCGCTGCATAGTGCGACGCGAAGGCTCTGACTCGGTCACGTGGACGTGGGGTGCGATTTGCTTTCAGACTCGCCAAATCCTGGAGGAGCTGACGGAGTTGCCGGTGATGGTGGAGCTCTCCAGCGACTTCCTTGACCGCAACACGCCCGTCTTCAGAGATGATGTCTGCTTCTTCATCAGCCAGTCGGGTAAGATTTTTTTAAAAGCCTGTCGACGAGCACAACAAGACGCGGATGTGTTGGGGGCGTCCAAATGCTGCCTCGGTTATTTAGAGATCACAGAGCAGGAATGTGGGTTCTTTGGAATCCCGCACAATGCCCAATGAAGTGTTTTTGCATTAGGCTTTTGTCAACTGGAGTCCTGCAACATGCATGTGAAACGTTACCGTCGGCATCAAGTAGGCGTGAAGTTACTGGTGTGGTGGTTTCCACACTGAGCTGTGAACCCGGAGACTGATGTTGTGATTCCTAGCTTACAGCTATTGTCGGTGGCAAGTGATATCTGCATCCATGTTGGGTCCCCTTAAATAAACTGTACTGACCAGTGCAGTGAAGGAAGTATGGTCAATAAATCCCGTGACTGACACGACATTTATACGTGCATATACTAATTGTTGCTTTTATCTGTACTGTCTACTCAGCCTTACTGTGAAATATGAATGTAATGCTCATGTTTTTTTACGTAAGTAATTCTTACACGTGCAATTCGCTGCGCTTATGAGTCTTAAGGATACGTTTGAATGGTCAAAGTGAAGCATTATTACGTGTGAACTTCTTTCGCACCGTACGTAGCCAACCGTTCTAACCAGAGGTTTCTAGTAACCAAGGTAGCAATCGTAGGATTGGGCGTTTTTATTTTAGCGCACAAAGTTGCCCTGCTATTTCTACCGTGTCACTTGTCGCGGAAGCTCAGGATATTCGAACGGATTGGCTCGAATGGAGGCGATTAGCTTTGACCCCCACGTGTGCTTCAATCAGGGGAGACCGCGGACACACTCATGGCGCTGCACTACTGCAAGGAGCGCGGCGCGCTGACGGTGGGCGTCACCAACACGGTGGGCAGCTCGATCTCACGTGAGACCGACTGCGGCATCCACATCAACGCCGGGCCGGAAGTCGGCGTGGCCAGCACCAAGGTGAGCTGTCGCGCAGCTCACCGTCAAGACGTTTGCGAGGACAGAAATTCAAATGCAGCTCTTGCTTAGCGCAAATATAATGTTACTGGATGATGTCATGATACATGATTTGTTTCAATTATAGTACTGTGATTTTAGTAATGTGATGTGTCTTACACTCAAAACTGCTGAAGACCACTTTTATTATTATTTTTCAATATTACATGTGAGATACATCATACATGTAAGGTTGATGAGACGGAATAATGAAAAAATACAAAGCGGATGGTAAAACTTAACGAAAATATATCGATGCTTAAACTGAATCATGACAACTCATCACACTGTTGGACAACGGGGTGAGGATGGTAGTGATTTGCTAAATGCCCATTGGCCATGATGAGTTTGCATCTTTAAACCTGCTTGGCCGTGCGTGTGCGCGTGTTCCCCAGGCATACACGAGCCAGTTCGTGGCGCTTGTGATGTTCAGCCTGATGATGTGCGACGACCGCCTGTCCATGCAGAAGCGCAGGCAAGAGATCATCAGTGCTCTCCGCACTCTGCCAGGTGAAGATCCCCCCACCCCCGTTGTCAATCGCCCAACATGAACAATGACCTGAGCCTCTTGGTACTCCTGTTGATTTGTTCGAAAAAAAATGCATTCTGTTAATAACTCTAGAACCAAAAGTAATATAAAGCATACGTTGTACATAAATAATCCGCTAATAAAGAATCTCACTTTTAAAAATGCTAAAAAATTTCAGAGCTTGCTCGACAGCAGGTCACAGATGGCGGACTTGAAATATAAATACATTTTCATTATAGCCATATTTATTGAAAGATGTTTGTTTTCATCATCATACTGCTATTGCTATATAAAAAAAATTGGCCATTATCCCATTTTTAACTTAAGAACCAGAAGTGTTACAAGGATGACCCACTGTGTGTACCGTGTAACCTTGTTGTGCATATGGGCTACGGTTGCGGGATTATTCCAAAGGAGGCGCCAAAGCTAGTTACTTATAAACAACTGATTGGAATTCATTGAAAAAGCCAAACATGCTGCATTAGCCTGACAGAGCCCTTCACAAAACAAAACTCACAGACGTATTTGCCAAAATGTTTTAGGCTTACTGAATTACATTCATTACAATTTTTTACGAAAAAAAATTGCAATAAAATGCTATGAAATGCTTCCATTGCTTCTCATAATTTTTGCACAGTGCCTCACAGAGACTAGGTGTCATTAATTAGCAGCTAATTAAATAATATCGGGCACCAGCCTCAAATACCACCAACCTTTTCCGCCTATCGGATGTGCACTGTCCCACCCTGCTGATGGGATGATTAATTATTTTCTCATTTTGGTATTCCCCCTACGCTGAACATGTTCTGTCTTCCAGAATTGAGCAGCTGTAATGAAAGCAACCGAATTGTATTCAGAGTTTGCTCGATTGAGGTTCACGTAAAGATTGCCATTTATACATTCCATTTGCTTGCTCGCATTGTTCATATTTCCTGTGAGTGGGCAGTCTTACTTCCAGATGATGTGCTGCACGTGTGTGTCAATGCGTGACTCAAAGCACTGTTTGCACAAGTGTTGTATAAATATGTTGATTTAATTATTACTGTCACTGTTTGGTTAGCTTGAATGGTTGTTATTTGGGGGGGGAAAGCTCTTATTTTCAGAAGCTAAATTAATTAAATGTTATCCCAGACATCATTGAACAATAGGCAAGGATCATTGACATTTTTTGACAATTCGTGAAATGAAAATAGTGAGCAACTATAGACTGGAGACCTGAAGTGATAAAAAAATATGTTGCTGGCCCCTCCACCTGGAACGCCATCCCCCTCCACATTCGCAGCACTGACGCTTTAGCAACTTTAAGCCCCTTTAAAAAATTAACCATGTTTTCAATTGACTTACTGAGCGGATCTCTGAGCTGGCCTCTGCGTCTCAGGGTCGCTGCCTTCGGGCAAGTGAAAGTTGCGCACGTTACAAATGAGCATTATTATTACGGATAATATTGGTTGCGAAAGCCTACGTCTTAAACTGATCATGCATCGTGCACAGGATGCATGCGATCAAGTCGTCCAAAAAATGCCAATCTCATCAGATGTTTTGAGGCTATGCAGCAGGGTTGGTTGAGTTGAGTTTGTCTTTTTATTGGTGACGACCATTGCTTGCCAGGTGTGAGTGATGCTGGAAGATCATCAGGAGATGGCCATGCTGAGTGTTGCCCCCCTCCTATGCATGGCCTTTCTCTTGTGTATTCCGATTCCCTCCCACATGAATCCAAACATTCATTTGCGGAATTGGCCAAACATTCCAATGCACCTTGTAAGGATGTCCCCCCGATAGACTCCCCCTGGAACTCTACTGAGCACGTCCCACTGGGCGAAGACCCTGGGGCCGGCCCAGGACACGCGGGCAGGACTATGTCGCTCGGCAGGGCTGGGAACGCCTAGGAATTCCCCAGGAAGAGCTAGATTCTGTCGCCAGGGAAAGGGAGGGAGGTCTGGACCGCCCTACTCAACATGCTGCCGCTGCGACCTTCACCAGGTCAAGCGGATTGAGAAACGAACAAATTAATTCCAATGCAGAACCCTCCTGAAAAATCTTCTCGATGAAATAAGCATAATGATTATAACGTGTCGTACGAATGTAAAATTATTTTTTGTTCTTCATTTCAGACCTGATTAAAGAGGTGCTTGCGCTGGATGATCAGATCAATTCGCTCGCTCATGAGCTTTACCAGCAGAGATCCCTGCTGGTGATGGGACGTGGCTTCAACTATGCCACCTGCATGGAGGGTGCTCTGGTATGATATTATTGTGGTGTTGATTGACGTGCATGAAATACGCAAGAGAGATTTTTTTTTTCCAGGAGACAGCGGTAGCTATTATTTAGCATTTTGTAGGTAGAACTGCATTCTGTATGTTTGTATTTTTGTTGACGGGGCCTTTTTCAGCCTGCGATCTAGGGACCAGTGAGCATTTATGTGGCCGTCCCAAGCGTAAATGCTGATTGAATGAGGCCCATTTCAGTTGTGAGAGTGTGTAATCTTTTCTTGGGCCGCGAGAATGAAGTAATGTGTGATCCGATGATGTGACCCTACACAGCTCCATTCAACTGGATGGATTTTCAAATTGCCCGATGGATTTTGAGGTTTTGCCAAGTCCCCTGTAATCACCGCTGCCCCCGCTGCAGTGTGCACAAATGAAATTGGACACATTCATTGTTGACACATCGGTTTCAAAGCTTAAATTCCATTGAGGTGCCTTATCAATTTTACGACTGAAGTGTGCCGCTAACAACAGTTCAGTTTCACATGTGAATTAAAGTGGCTGTTGACCACGGCGTAGTCTTTGCGCGATGCACATTGGAATACTAAATTGATTAACCCTAATTGTAGCCCGTTATCCACGTGTCTGCATGTGGCTTCCTACATGCGTTTCCCTAATCTACAACAGATTGTCCTCTTTGCGTTTAATTTTTGCATAACTTATCCCCTCGTTAGGCTGCTAATTAGCATGTGGTAAGCTGCATTTAATTAGAGAGTGTAAATGAGGTTTCATATGCTCCGATTCAACATGTTATTGCTGAAATGGCTACTGACAGGCCATTGGCACTCAGCTGGGCGCTTAGAGAGAAGCTGGGGCTTTAGTATTGTTGTGGTTGAATTGTGCATGATTTATAATGTGCATAATGACTTTCTAATCTCTATTAACAGGAGTATCATCTCTTTTTATTATAAATCAATTCATTTTGTGGTGTGAAGTGTATATAAAATAGTTTTTTTCCCCTAATTCCTGCTCCTGTAGCAGAATGTTTATTGTAAAATGTATCAATGTAATTAGAATCCAGGCTCTTAAAACAATTGCTATTGCATTTGTGGAGACTGTTAGATTATTATTTAATTATATGGTAAATATGGCTACACTTAAGTTCAAAATGCATGCTTTCGTGTGTTCCATTTTCTGTCTCGTGTGTGTATTGTCAGGACAGCTCAAGGTCTTCGCTGTATCCCAGGCTGTTATTTTTGCTTCTAGTTTAAATTGGTATATTCTCCCACATTGTTTGCCATAGAAACAAACAGGCAAAGGCAACGATGAATTTACGTGGACATTTTTTAAGTCTGTGATTTCCTTCTCAGATGAGCACTGAGAGGCATGAACAGAAGCTCCTGCTTACAAATCTGAGCCAGTGGTGGAATTTCCTTGTTCCTTTTGCAGGAGTGATTATATCCAAAGGACAAGCATGATTTGCTTAGTCACACAATCAACCAGGATTTGAGCTCGCACCTTGCGAGAGCCGCTAGCTCTACCCACACAGTTCCACCCGGCCGGGTTGGAAAATGGAAAAGGGAAATAAAATTGAAACACGCGACTCGGAAGCACGCGTTTGTGAAACGTGTGCGGATATTTTGTTTTATTTCTTGACAATGTAGAAAATCAAGGAGATCACGTACATGCATTCGGAGGGCATCCTCGCCGGGGAGCTGAAGCATGGGCCCCTCGCACTGGTGGACAAGCTCATGCCTGTCATCATGATCATCATGAAAGACCCCACGCACACCAAGTGTCAGAACGCACTTCAGCAAGTGGTGGCCAGAAAGGTCAGATTCATCTGTCTTTCACAGTTCTTTCACAACTGCATGGAGTTGCCTTTTGGATAAATCCATTTGTTTTGTTGTTTGCCATTGGAGTTTTAGATCTCACACCGGAAAGAATAGTTGGCCAAACGGAGGTCGAGGAGTTTAATGTTTACCAACAGTGTGTACAATTATATAAGCGCAATACATTGAACGTTACTGCAGCTATACAAAATGGTTAAACGGATATTATATTATCAATCCACTGCTGGATAAAGCAATAACCTCTCTCCATACCACGTCGGTCATGGGGCTTCACCATATTTCACCACACTGGTCAGTGCGGGTTTGTGAGGGACGAGTTTAGATATTACTGATGTTAGTCGTGGCCGAAATTTAGCTCCATTTGCCGGGTTGATAGCGCACTCCCCTAATCACGCTGCCACCGCTCCACCCCGTTATTACAGTAAGGTCTCGAGTACGCGGGCTCAGAGTATGCGGACCCACTCATACGTGACCGACCCCGATTCATATTTACACTTGTGACTTGTGCTTTCTCTACATGCACGCGGCGGGAAGCGAGGAGTCAAATCACCCACCATCACGCGCACGTGGATTTGAGGGATTGTAACTGTATCGCCCGCGCAAGAAACGTATACTTAGCGACTTGCTTACCATTTCCTCTATTTTGTACTCCTATCGTTTTTTGGTTTTGTTGCGCTGTTGTGACTTGTTGACCCACTCATACTGTACATCTGTGAAAAAGAGCTTCATAGCTCATCGGATTCCTCCAGTCTAAATAAAGATTCCGATTATTCTGATTCCGTCATTTTCACCGACCTCCGTGTCTGCAGGGGCGGCCTATCCTGATCTGCGAGAAAAACGACGACGAGTCGAAGCTGCTCGCATACCGCACCATCGAACTGCCGCACACGGTGGACTGTCTGCAGGGCGTCCTCACCGTCATCCCCCTGCAGCTCCTGTCTTACCATCTGGCTGTCCTGCGTGGCTTTGACGTAAGTTTTGCGCATTTCAAGTGAAAACAAGGAAGAAATATGCCCACGAACAGATTCTCTCACGCCGTCCAAAATGTGGTTGTCACACTGCGCACGGCGTCCAGAATCTGAGACTTGGTCACGCGTGATCACGTCATCGGGAGGGGAGACGCTCGCATGATGAGACATAGAATGATGACATTACACTTAATGATGTGATGTCATGATGTCATCATAGTGGCAGCTAAAACATAATGATTTAAGCGCTGTTTTTTTAAATCGCCAAATTTGTTGCAATCCTTTTATCAATTTGACTGCTTTTCTCGAAGCTAAGTCCTAAATAGCAACACAACTTTTCAAAAAAAAATTATTATCGTGGATCATCTAAGCAAAAGTTATTGTGACCCCTCCTGAGACACAGACAGACAAGCCCGAGCTAATGCAATTAAACTTTCAACCTTAGTCGGGGTGTGGGGGGGGTCGGAGCGTAAAAAATATGAACTCGCTGAAGCGCCCTACATCATTTTCAGATATCAAAGTCCAGCCCGGCTCTGCTTGAGCAAACGTACTTCCTGGCAGTGAGCCCGGCGGCTTGCAGTCGAGGCCCATAGAAAATTGACGGCATGTCGGCGGCCGAGTTGCTGACAGTTGCCGCGAGCTCTGGCGCTCGGGTCTGTGGATCAGACTTGCGTGATGGCAACAACAAAAAAATGGGTCGTGGGCATGGGGGTTTGCAATTTACAATTTTTTCTATTCCGCCCCCCCCCCTCTCCATCCTCCTCCCGCTCCAACTTCAGTACGGCAGCAAGCCCATTTGCTATTTTTATTTTGTGGTCGTAGTGTTGTAAAGCGGCGAGCTGTCATGCCCGGCCGTACCCCCTTCCACTGATCCCGTCACCTTCACTAATGTCAGCGCCGCTGGTATCGCGACAAGATGAGCTTGTTCCCCGCCCACGTCGCCCCATTAATGCGACGGAGAACGCCGTCGCAGCTCGCCCGGGACCAGATGCACAACACAAAATGTTCCACATGGCAGACGCCCGCTCTTACAGCAGCACTTTAATGACAATGGTTCACAAATAATATGCAGATCAAATTCCAAGGTTATTCATAATGCATTTAATGAGGAAGTCTTGAGAATGAGTTTTTATTTTAGGTTTGAAACGGTTGTTTGGCATATTATCCAATGCAAGGGCACTTCTAAAAGAGGTTCTTCTAGTTCTTGGTTCTTTCGGTAAAGTCACGTAGAAGGGAAGTAATAAAATAATAAAAATAAAACATAATAAAATCAAATAAAATTAAATTATTTGATTTTATTATGTTTTATTTTTATTATTTTATTACTTCCCTTCTACGTGACTTTACCAAAAGAACCAAGAAGATGAATCCCTGCAGTCACGAAAGCTTTCAATCGAAATTTAGGTTCTTTTAGCTATATGTTTCAATTGATAGGCTCAATAAATTGTAAGGAATTCAACGTCTTGACCTTGACATGTTTTCATTGATCATTCCTGAGATGTTGGGTTGAAATCTGTGCAACTGCCCAAGCTTAAAACGGGCTTCTCAAGTGCAGCCACTCGGTGGTCTCAGCTTGGTGGTCACCAATGAGTGCACAGAAAACTAAAATCGGTGTTGAAATTGAATCGGGCAAGATTCCAAGTCTGAGAAAGAAAAAAAACCCGTTGATTTATTGGTTTGACTGTCATGTGACAATCTCATAGCAAGAGTGTGTCTATCCAATTTGTGATGAATAAAAATGCATTCTTAGCATTATTTAATACTTTCTGTGTTAATTTGCTTTTTCTAACAATAGTGGAGGTGCTTCTTCTTGGTTCTTTCGGTAAAGTCACGTAGAATGTAAATAATAAAATAATAAAAATAAAACATAATAAAATAATTCTCACGACGTTTCGGCCACAACGCAAGTAGACAGACTCTGTCTCTTCGACAGACCTGTTCTCCACCTGAGGACGGCTACTTGCGTTGTGGCCGAAACGTCGTGAGAATGATTTTATTATGTTGTATTTTTATTATTTTATTATTTACATTCTATGTGACTTTACCGAAAGAACCAAGAAGATGAATCCCTGCAGTCACGAAAGCTTTAAATCGAAAAGTGGAGGTGCTGTGTAAGATTTCTGAATGGACTCTTCGTCCCGTGGAACGCCACGTACAACAACATTGGAACACATTTCGAAAAAGACCCCCCCCCCCCCCCACATTTTTTCTAAGAAACAAAAACATGTGTTTGAGTGCCTTTTAATGAGCAACGAGCAAGTGTAAAAAGTGACCTGAGTTTGTATTTTGGTGTTTTGTGCAGGTGGATTTCCCACGCAACTTGGCCAAGTCCGTCACAGTCGAGTGAAACGGCTCTCAAAGTTCCCCGGTGAAGCAAGAGAAATGTTTTCATTCGACACCGTCCTTTAGTCTTGTGCTTTCTCTGTGGTTTCCTGTCACTCTCCTTTTGGTACAATATGCAGCGTTGTTTCTGTCTTAAGGGTTTGCACCGGGTTCGTTTTTGATAGTTTGTGTGCGTAATAGATTTGCATTCCTTATTTACCGGTGTTGCTTGAAACAACTGTTTCTTCAACTGTCAAGTTAAAGTAGAACGGATGTTTATTTTATAACTATAGCTCTGTAAGCTGCTCTTACATGATGCGACCAATAAATAACACTGAACAAGAATGAAGTGGAAATCGGCTAATGTATTCGTTAAAAATATAATTCAATTCAATGCCGTTAACCCGGTGAGAGCCCAATGAAATTCATGCATTATCTATAACTACATTTAGGAGGAGCCTTTACATATTAGTTTAATGGCATCATGTTTAATTTACTTAGTGTCTTGGCATGCTCGAGATTGTAGAGACTTGTTAACCATAGCCATCCAGCTGTTGTATTTTGGCTTTGTGCGGTATCGCATGTCTTGTTTACAGGACAACAATAAGTGTCGTTGAAGGGAACATGAATGAAAGAATAACGTGAATAATATGGTATTCATCGTCTTGGTTCTTTCCGTAAAGTCACGTAGAATGGAAATAGTAAAATAATAAAAATAAACGTAATAGAAAAATAAAAAAAATACAAATAAAACATATAATAAAACATTTTATTATGTTTTATTTTTATAGTATTTTTTATTATTTTATTATTTCCATTCTACGTAACTTTACCGAAAGAACCAAGAAGATGAATCCCTGCAGTCACGAAAGCTTTAAATCGAAATTTAATATGCTATTGTTCTTCTAACTAGCCAGGGTGGTAATATCTCCAGAATGGAAAAACTCGATTGTCTTGAAGGGACGGTGGCCGATGGATGAGACTAACGAAGGAATGACAGCCAAAGGAGGGAACGTGCCCCGGGGGAGCAAGTCGTCCTCCTCCGAGGTGGTGGAGTGATGGTGTCCGCTCACGTGCAGGTGTGTTAGGTGAATTATTCCATCGCAGGACTGAGAGACGCTGATGGCAATGGCTTTCAGAGGCCCTCATCCTGCAGTGGAATTGATCATGGCTGATGATGTCTATTATTATATGAAACAAAAAATATTAGCTATTCGATATGCATCGACAATGGAAGGCTGTGCAACGTGTGAATTCGCATCAATTATGACACGCGTTGTTGCTTATATTTTTTGAAAAGCAGATGTGATGTGAATACTGAATGCAGATACTGTGGTTGTCGGCAAGTGTGGGAGATTGTAATTCACAGCAAATAGTTTGATCTTGGTGATATGCTGTGTTGGGCCAATTTGCTGCTAAATCACGAGCTTTATGCATGAACACCCATTTGTATTTAAATTATTAGTATTATGCTAAATAGTGGACACAAATAATCAGTTATGTTACCGTGCTTAAAAAAATACAATTTGCTCACAAATGCATCGGTTATTAAGGAATACATGCAAAAGTATGTTTATATTTATGCATTGTACATTTGACGTGTTTGTGTCGGCTCTTAACCTTATGTTAAAAAAAACTTAATTATTCAATCTGTCCTTCTAAAAGTAGAATGAAGCTAAACTTTATAAAGAGATTAGACTTTCAAATTTTTTTGTTTATCCTATACCATTGGAACTGATATAACTGGGCACTTGCGTCACGTGGCAGCATTGACAGGCATTTCGTATTTCCATTCCACATGTCAGGGTTGGCTTCGAAAGCACTTATTCATTGGTAGACAGAGAGACCTGTTTTTGTTGCAACTTTGTTAATTTCCTATTCTTTTAAAGAAGTATTGTACTCCATGTTATACATGAATAGCATGTATGACCCAACAATGTCAATTAGGGGTGTAAAGATCCATCGAGTCATTGATTTATTTATAGATAATTAAGATTATTGATACGTGCATGAGATTGCATATGTAAGAATCGATGTTTCCATTTGTGCAGATATGCAATTATTTCTTTTAGGGTTATGATGTGAGCAAAACTGCACAAACGAGAAAGAAAGAAAAAAACAACGCAAAGGAGATTGTAAAATTGGTACGATACATTCTCAATTATCGGATGGAATTACTGCCCCGATTTGCGTTGATTTGTGAAAGTCTCCCGGCAGGCACGAATCATTGTACCCCCTCTGTCAATGGTGCGCAGTCAATGCCCTCTATTTGCACTTATGTCTTCTTGAGCTCTTTATCTTTAGCCAATTGGAGCGTTCTCTTGTTATTCAAATTGTACGCCACCGAGCACAATGGCTGGGCCCATGCCAGGAACTGTGCGAGTGGACAGCCCCTACTGCCCAGCGGGGAAGAGTGGGTGGGGGAAAGCAGGGGCTTAACAGCTGTTTCACACCCACCCTGGGTACTAATGCCATTTTTTTTTGCAATGGGAACAGGAGTCAACAATTCCATTCAATTTGGTTTGTTTGCGTTTACACAACATCGCGTATGAAAAATAAGGCTTTGTGTTTCCCCCCCCCACTCCCCAAAAGAAAATAAACCCCGACATATCTAACTCATTTCCAATTACACGGGGAATATGAAGGGAGTCAAGCAGTTAAATTGAAAACTAATGCGCATTGACATTTGTGAGAAAAAAAGTGAATTCCAAAAGCGTTTGAAGGAAATTGTAGCAGAGGCCGTTCATAGTTGCACGTATGGTGCGAAAGAAGTTAAACACGTAAGTTACAGTAGAACTGATGCAAAGAGCGGCACACCCCTCCCTATTCATGGACCTCGGCAGGCAAAGTGGAATGCAATTTCAGCCTTCCCGAGGACACTGTTGGCGTCATTGGGTGCACTTCACAAGAGCATCGGCAATGTTCAGGGTAACTGGGGAGATTTGGAAGTTGGAATTACACGCAGTTCAAGCACCTGTTAATTGCGTGGAATGTAAATTGATAGTTTGTTGCAGCAAAAGTTCCGTTATCCGGTATCCGTGGGGAATGAAGTGTGTCGGTTAATCGAATACGCCAGTTATCTGATAAGTTACTTATGAAAAATTCGATAAGGTTTTCGCCTTTCTGGCAATAAAGCAGGTGTTAAGATGTTCATAGACCAAATAAATAACTTTTTGCAAGGAATCAGGTCTGCATTAACCACACTTGTGGTGAACATGCAAACAAACATGCTCTGATAATATACGAGCATTGCCTTTGACACTGATTGGCCTACACCAAAGACGGCAGCCTTCTTCATGGTCTAGTCTCATCGGCGTCGGACCAAACGGCGAAGAGTACAAAGACAATGCACGTGTCAGAGCATTTATAGCTCGGGGTGAGCAGCTCTATCATGGGACTTTTTTGATACTGGCTGTTAAACCTATGTTTCAGCAAATTTTCCAAGTACTTAAGTACATTTAAAGAAATCAACTAAGCCAAAATGTATCGTACGAGAAATAATATACACTTTTTACGGAGGCACTCACGGGTCGTTTGTAGAGCATTCTAAGTTGATCTTAGAGAAGGAGTGGGGCAGTTTAGAGTACGGTATACGGTAGGACAGTACTGTCTGAAGCTCCCGTAAACGACCCCTCTGTGATAAGCGCACGGCAAGATGCCGGATGGCTGTCGGAATTTTTTCCAGATAAGCGAAGGAAGATTTGTATTGCCGTCATGAAAAATGCCGGTTAATCGAGCATTCCGGATAGTAAATTGCCGGGTAACAGGACTTTTGCTGTATTTGTTCTGTGGTGGTGGAGGGGATTGGGAATGGCTGTGAGTATGGGTGATGGGACCAAACAGTACCTTGTAGAGGATACTCAACTTTATTTTGTTGTGCAATAAGTCTGTTAATTTGAAATTGTTATAATACTGGTGTCTGTTATTTTTTGTGGATATACAGTAGGTGGTGTAGCTGGTTTTTTTCCTACTATTACGCAAGTTCATTACCAATGTATCAAGTGTGATGATGATTTTGCGGTGTGATTTGAAAAGGTTACTGAAACTTACAGCTGAAAGCATCATCTGCTGCCAAGTCCAATTTGGGTAATGCTTTGCAGGTAGTGATATGCCCGTTTCCTTGCTTTTTTGAGTTTCGAGGCATCGCCTGTTGGATGTGACACGGGGGACACCCCGTGGAGGTGACACGATTTCAGCTTAAATCATTGGCCTCGAGTCACGGCGAATGGGGAATGGCTATCGTTGCCCATTAGTGTGACTGGACAGCTTCCACAACACCATTGCGTACATGCAAGTGTATCACCAAGCGTCATCGCTTCGGGTATAATGTGTAGTTACGCGGTCAGTCCCACCGTAACGTAATTACAGCGCGGAACAGCAGATCCTGATCAAGAGTTTGACGTGAGCATCATTTTGGGCTTTTGTCGTGCATAAATGCCCGCGTACGATGCTCATACAAACGCTCATTGGATTGAATTGGATCGAATGAAATGTCTTTATGTGGCCTCCGTTGGTCGTGTAATTGCGTTACCGTGGACTGTTCCACGTGGGCACTGCCTATTCCATTTCGGATTTCTATATGTATGAATTTGAGTTGGCAATTTTTTTAAACGATGGCTTAACTGTGTCAAACATGTATTTATAGATTTTGTTCAACAACAACAACAACATAGATACATGTGTGTTGGTTATGCTCCTGCTTTTTTTAGTTTCTTACTGCATGCACAGTATATAGTGCATTGCATGTTTTTTCGCTTTTTTTTCCCTTCGTCGCGTGGGACGTGTTTAACAATCATCAGATGCGTGCAGCGTGGAACAAGTACATTTGTATTTGAATGCCATGTAAATTGGTGAACGTGGAAGGACGCGTGGCGGGTTATTAAGACTGGAGTTTTGGAACCCCTGAATAAGAGCATCTGTAAAGATTACCCAAATTCACTGGCTTCAGCAGCAAGGGCAATGCTGGATTGTGTTCTGCGGAGCTCTGCAATAGAGCTGTGCATGTACAGGGTACGTGGCTGTAATAGGAGGAAGGCTTCTTCCTGGAAGGTTACAGGAGACAGATTTGTGGTGAAAGCCTTTTAATGAAGAACACCCTATTATATTGCTGTTTAGGATTTGTTTCTAATAAAATATAGGACACTCTTACATGCTTTGATTTATTTACCATGTTCATAATTATGCAAACACGCAATCCATTTAGCTGGTCACAGCAAACCAATTTGCATAATTTATCCATGTAAGTACTATGAATATGCACATCGTCGAAATATTAATGCTCTACATTAATTGCACTTCAAAACGTTAATGCATTTTAATTTAAGAGTCATTACCCTTAAGGTTTTAATTTGTACCCATTTTTCAGAACTTTCATGGCAGAACTCATCTCTTTCTTATTTTGGGGGGGGGGTCGGGTGGAGTGGGGGGCTTAAGATTGGTCCGTGAGTGGATCTCGTATCAAGCGAGCTAAATATCTGGCGAGTGTGCAGCGACGAAGCCGGGGCGGACGTCAAGGTTTGGATTGGCCCCGTAAACAGCAGTGACAGAATGTCGCTCCTTATTTCGCGAGGATCGCTTCGCGGGGTGGCGTCAGCGAACTCCGCTTGTGTAATTAGGTGGCCGTGTCCTGCGGCGCACGCTGGGCCGCGCCGCTGACGTCCTCGCTGGTCATTGTCCAACCGTGTTCACATCAAACCGCGAGGTTTTGTCAAAAATGTTTTATTGGGATGTCGAGCAGAGCATCCGAGAGACTTTTTGATTTGCCCCCCCCACCCCTCCGTTTTTTTTTCTTAAAGAGCGGCACTGCTGCCACGCGCATGATGGCTCTCTTCAAATCTATATGATGGGAGGCCGAGGCAAGTTGCCTCATTCAGAAATGTTTGCCTGGCTCCGACGAATATGCACGAAAAACTCCTTATTTTACTGTCATCAACATGCACCATTTTTGTCGTTGAGAAACAAAAGCAAGTGAGGATTGCATTTTTTATTATTGTAATTCACATTTCTAGTTACAATTTTTTTCTTGAACACTTATACATCAATTTAGACTTAACTTTCGTGACTGCAAGAATTCATATTCTTGGTTCTATCGGTAAGTCACAAATGTGCATTTTATACTTTTCACATTGGCATGAATGCCATTGCTACTCATGTGCAGTGTAGAGGGCTCGTTACAATCGCCTGACTCTTCCATTTTGTGCCTCCCTCACACTCCCAAAATTGGTCCCAGGTTTGTGATTTTGAGTGAGGTATGATCGCGTCGCACGTAAATACAAATCCTGTCACTTTTCTCTCGCTCTTCCTCTTCTGCTACCTGATCATCGGCGGCTGCCCGGGTCCAGATAAAAAAAAAACACCAACTGCGTGAGAAATCCTGCGCTGGAACAGCAGCATTTATTTATCACGTGTCTGCCCGCAAGGCTCAAACCCTAGATCATAGAGGTGCTGGCTCTGTTTCCTGACGTTGCTGCATTAGCCCCAGCAATGCGATGACCTCCTGTCGACATGAAAACAACCCTGGTTCTAAAACGGAAATGCAAGCGTAAATTGCCTAAATCGCACTGTTTGGAGATTTAATGGTGATCAAAATTAAAATTAATGACACGTTCAAATGTTTCGCGTGTGAATGTTAACTTCACAAATTCCAACCTGCTCTCATTATGGCAATTTGGTCGACCTTTTTTTCTCTTGTAACAAAAGCAACAAGACCGAAAATCACTCCTCATGTCTTAATTTTGCAATTTTACTTTTTTTTTAAAATAATGTATCCGTATCCGATTATTGCCAGTCATTATTAACATTTTGGGGAAAAGTCGACTTTTTAATGTAGAGTTAAAAAATGTTTCACGTAGAAATGTGGCTATGCCTAATATATAACGATTTCATTTCTAGTGGGAGTGCCGGCATAGCTTTGTATGTATGACAGAAATTGAACAAATACGTTGTCAGTAGTTCAATTGCCACGTTTCATAGAGGGGATAAAAGTAGCTTGCAACAATGCCGTTTGATCGTATGTATGTTTGTGATAAGTTTCAGCTTATAATGAAATTTGCAGCCAGCATGCGTATTCCATGCTGTCATGAATAATTACAATTATTGGTTTCACATTTTTCGATGTAAATTACTAGAATAAAATAAATGTACGACAATGACAAACACATCAAAACTTCGTTTTTTTGGTTTCGCATCGTAAGCACTAAAAACTACGTTCTCCATGATCATCCACTGCTTGCATGAGGTTTCTCCAATCCCCTATCCGTTGGCACCACGGTGGCGAGATGTTAACTACCTCGCTTGGTATACAGGAGGTCGTGGCTTTGATCCTGACCCTTACGCCTGAATATTTTGAGTCTGCGCGTCTCTCTTTCCACGTGGTCACGGTTTTGGCTGCGATACATTTGCACGTGATAAGCCACTTCGTTGAGCTATCATTTGTGGCCAGGTCGTTTCTAGCAAAGAGCTATATATTACAGTGCGCTTAACCTGGTAAAAAGGCTCTTGTGCGCGAGCGGATCGCATTGCTCCATCTCCCTGAAGGACGTTCGCTCAGGTGTACCATTATTTGGATGTCACTCTTGTCGGGCCAACCATCCCTTCAGAATCAGAATATTTATATTGGAGGAATCCGAGGAGCTATGAAGCTCTTTTTCACAGATGTCCAGTATCACAGATGTCCTTCTTGTGATGTGTCCTGCCCGAGCCAACTTTTCTTTACGGTCAATAATCTGAACCCAACACACTGACAACTGCAGCCCAATTCACTGTCCGGTATATCGTGGAGATGTAATTTTAGTCGGCATAAAGTCGTCATATAAAATGATTGTCTCGAGTAATTGTTTACTTATGTTGATCCATATAATCTTGGCACAATTTACAAACGATGACTTGTTGATATCTGAAACTTATTCAGTGATGCATTAATTAACATAGTGTTATATGTCAAGCAAAACAATGTCAATTACACACACTGTGTTGTAGTGGTGCAACACACCACGCACAAGGCAATCTGAGCCACCGTAACCCCAAACGATGAGGTTCCATCTCAAGCTGAAGCGAATAGTTGCGTGGGCATGTGTCTGCGCGCGTATGATTGGACTTGCAAATCACCGGTACCAGCGGTGTCAAGATCGGCCTCTGTGGAGGAGGCTCATGAAGGACGCTGCTGGGCGGTTGGTTGCAGTCAGTCGCCCTCCAGCAAACGACGGAGGGCGGAGGAGCGACGCTCACGGCAACGAGTGGAGCGCCGGGGAGATAAAAACGCAGCGAGTTGGCGCACACTGTGCCTGTAGTTGCTTAACTCATGAAGATGTGTTTTTTTCAAGTATATTTTATGTTTGTGTTGATTCCCCCCACTTAACAATGTTGTTCCAATTCAATTGATCTGAGCTGACAATGGAGCCTTAAATTGAGCAAATAATTTTCAGGCTCACCCGTTGATTCTGAACAAATGCCACGTTTACACAACGGATTTTGCAATTGAGCCGCTTTGAAAAGGCGTAACTAACACTGTCCCATTGCACATACATGTTTGTTAAGTCGGTTTAAGCTCTATGCCACATCCTACCTCGGCCATTATTTTTACAGCCCCTTTAACATTGTACAGCGCAACGCAGTAGCGAACAAATGAATGAAATCAAATTGAATTCTGTCTGCTGGAACTAACGCTGTTTAGCCGTCCCTTGTTTTCTCTCGTCTCTTCAAGTTGGTATCCAACACCGGCGTGGACAAATCAAATTGCGTTGTCAGCCTAGCAACATTGTAATGGTAATGTTTTGCATGTTCACCCTGCTGTATATGCTACGTGATTTAACGCTATGGGATTCGAAAGGTTAGGCTCATTTGTCAGTGGGGTTTTCAAATGATTCACTTTACTGTGCTAAATATAAATCAATGCAGAAAGGAGTTTTTTTCTCCTTTATATTTGCAATAAATACGTTAATACAATTAGCGAGAGTGTGAAAACGGAAATTTCCAAACAAATTAATGTTTTGAAACATGCTAAATATGTATTAATGAGATCGGTCAAAACATCCCAATGCAGAAGTATCCTCACGGACAACTTGAGACTCGGCGAGGCTTTTCCTGTATAAACCGGCGTTACTGCTGTTGAGCAGAAACTCCAGATTGTGCTTTTCATAAGACCTAAACAAACTTGTTTCTAATAGTAGGTTTTTACCCTTTTGGACTTGTTTCTCTTGGACGTTGCTCGTACAATTGGTTCACAGAATTCGGGCTGCGTAATTCCCCTCGCGAGGTTCTTGGTCCAACGTTGGCAGGGCCGTGACGCATGCGTCTGTGCGAGACCACGTGTCGTCCAAATTATAGAATGGAACAGTGTTCGCAAAAATGCGATTCATTGTCAGTTTAGTTTACAAACGCATCGCTGTATTCTCTGGATTGGTAAAACGCTCTGGAAAGTACGACGCACCCCAAACCTATGCCCGGTGTCACACAAAACCCAATGGTTTATACTGGTAGGAACCTCCTGGTTACACCAGCCTACAGGGGATTATTGTGTCCGTCCGTCGTGTAGGGAGGGGCTGGGTGGGGAGGGTGGGGCTCGGTGGGGGGTGGGAGGGGTGGGGCTGGGTGGGGAGGGGCTGGTCACCCCGTGGTTCCCTTATAAAACTCAACGTTTAACCTACTCACGCCGGCTTGTGCCCGCCCTCACAGTCGGCCATATTGCGGAATACACCACGCCGCCGTTGACCCTGGCCATTGACCGAGCAACCCAACGTTCCTACCAGCTCCCTCCGCAGGAATGTGTTTATAAGACGCACCACACCTATTGCCTTAGAATACAGGGGATAGAAACGGTAAAAACACCAAAAACGGTAATCATTATTAGTTGTAATAATAGTGTTTTCTCTCTAAATGAGCTGTATGCCACGAAAGTAGGACTAACTCCCAAGTGTGTTGTTTAAAAGATACACATGTAGTTTGTTGACATATATATACATACGCATATTTTACGTATATATATTTTAATGTTTTGACGTACACAATACATTGTCGGCGGCATGTAATCATGGGCTCGGTTTTGGTATATGTTGACGATACTTAACCACCATCATTGATAACAATCATGACTTTTAAACCGAACAATATATGTTTAATATGAAACACATAACTAGGTGTGTGTGTGT